CAACATATTTATTCAACCATTGCATACATTAACTAGAGGGAAACATATTTATTCAACCATTGCATACATTAACTAGAGGGCAACATATTTATTCAACCATTGCATACATTAACTAGAGGGCAACATATTTATTCAACCATTGCATACATTAACTAGAGGGAAACATTTATTCAACAATTGCATACATTAACTAGAGGGGCACTTAGTAGAGAACGTACCTCTGCCACACAGAGTTGATCATATTCAGCCTTCAAAAAAAAAATGGAAATGTGTCCGTATGTCCATCGTTATCAACCGACACGGACCACTTTCGGCAGAACGATGAGTAATACTATTCTACATATGTCGACCAAGGTTAATGAAAATCCAATCATTTTTGACTGAGTTATCGAGTGTGACAAATCGATTCCCATGTTAAGAGATTAGGATTTTTTTTTCGTGACCTTGACCCTCCATAAACTAATCACTTCTAAGTTGGATCATATTCCATTTGTATACGAACCTTCGTCCAAATCCATTCAGCTGTTTTTGAGATATCCTTCTGACAAACACACATACACACAAATACGATGACATACTGATCAAGTCATCTAACGCATCCCTTATGCATTTCTGTGCATCCAGACTTGAAACGAGCACTGGTAAACTACTTTACATATACACCAGGTGGAATATGGAAAGCAGTCAGAGACTAGTGGTGAGCATTGACTATGACATACTTACGACGGAGCCTTTTACAATGGAAACTGCGCTGCAGGGCTATTGTCAAAATGTACGACGTAATGAGGCTTAAACATCGTTTTAATATAGCGTATCCAGCATATTTTGCTAGAGAAAATTTAGTTCAAACTTGTGTTTTTTCTCACTGTTACCAGGCAGGATTGTGGCGAGTTAACTTGCGGTTTCGTAAGGGAAGTGACAGAGTTCTAACAGTTGTGAGGTCTGAGCCCCGAAACTTCACCAGTCAGATAATTTCAGTAGACACGTGGACAGAAAACGACATCAGGGATAACCAGGACGTTGTTGTGATAAAAGCCAAAGTTAGTACCAACAAGGAACCTTTAGAGGGAGTAGCTGTAGATGCTTTAGTAACGACACCAAACGGAGAAAGGATGAAGCTCGAGATGATAGAAACCGAAGGCAAGAATTTATGTATTCAACAATTCTTTAAAACAGTGTTATCTAATTATGTGATCTTAGTTTCAAACAATATTAAAACAATTTGCAAGAACTTGAATAACAAAAGAAAAATAATATTTTTCAGGGGTTTCACGTTTAGTTGAAACTTGCATTTTTTTTACTATATGTTGAAATACTTCAGTGGCTTTTCAACGTAGTAATAAATGGTGTATTAATTGGTGGGTTTATGAATTATGTAATTAAATATATAAACGCGTTATGCCTCTTGAAGAAACGTTTGCCTTCTTCAGATATTCCCGCAAAACAATACAAAAACTTTCTTCGCTAATTTTGGATAGATAAACTAGAGGGAAGGCAACTAAGTCAAAATTACCCACCCCCAATTCTTAGGCTTCTCTGATCAAAAAGTGGGATTTGATAGTCACTCTTATGACGCACCCATGACTCCAAAGTGTAAAGCATCTCTTACTTGATAAAGATTTATTTAGCATTTATTCCAAAAGACAAAATAAAAGATCTAACGTGAACGTGTCTTCTAGTGATTAGGAGCCAGGTGTGGCCTGTGGATAAGCGTGCTCAGACAGTGAATTCGAGATTTCGAAATACGCCACCCGTTCAAGCAAAAACGTACTCCGCATTTTGGGATTGCGGATGCGTTATAAAAGTAACGGTAAGACCTCACTACTGTGTTAGAAAAGAGAAGTCCAACGGTTGGCGGTGGGTGCCGTTGCCCAGCTATTTACTTTCTACTTCTTTTATTTCGAAATTAAGAACGGATATGCACAAATAACCGTTATGTAGCTATGCACGAAATTCTGAAACAAACATGTCCGAAGCCTTGTAGTTTTGACTCAACGGGTATTATGTTAGGTGAACACTGAGCAACATTCTGAAGAGAATCTATATAAATATAATAGTACTGTCTGTTGTATGTATCTATATAAATATAACAGTACTGTCTGTTGTATGTATCCAT